TGTTCGAGCGTGTCTATGTAATTGAGGGAGCCCCTGTTGACAAGAAAAGACCGTCTTGGGTGAATCAATGGGGACACCTGGGGCATGCAGAGGCCAGGTGCCAAGAAAAGACACCTTTTCGATGCCTGCGAAACCAGCTCTGGAGCCGACATGCCGGCAAATCATCAGAAAGCAAGTGACTCCTTCACGGGTGTGTTCGTGCGCGCGGGGGCGTGGGGGCGTGGGGGCGCTTGCGTGCAGGCGGGCTGCATCTCCCTGTCTCTGTCTGGGCGTGCGCATCGTGCAAGCGCGCGTGTGCTTCTGCTTGCGCATGCTGTTTTGACTTTGCGTTTAAGGCCTTCTGTGTGATGTGACATGGCATCGTGAACCTTAGTCAGCCTTGAGGTCAGTTTCAGTTGGGGTCCAAACACCAGCGCATCATCTCCCGAGAGTTTCGAGTGGACCTGAGTGAGGTGCCCAGGATTCTCCTCTACTTCTTTTTGGGGCTCAAGGCGTGAGGGGGAGGGGACCCTGACTTCCCCCCTGCAGAGAGTTGAGAGCCCCGGTGTGAGGCCCAGGCATAGACTCCACAACTCTCTCCTGGAACAAGGCCCCTCTCGATTCTCGATCTGAACACAAGCCTGCGCTATGCATACAGCGTTGCCATGCGTTGCCTAGATGCAAAACACCCCCCAAAATCAGCCCATAATGAACCTTGGCCTGTCGTCCGATACCTGTTTCATGACAGAAAGCCTGGCTCCTGGTTGGAGGCGGATGGGATTGGCGAGCTTGAGAGGCTGGTAGTTCTGTCAAGGGCAGCCGGAGATGCCATGCTGACAAAATCATTGCGCAATATCCCTGCGGCATCCGCCTGTGGCGAGGGAGCATGCTCGGCTTGGTAGATGCATTCCTCAGAGGGCGAAGCCAAGTCACGGCCTGTCTCTCTCTCTCTCTCTCTCTGTGTCTGTCTGTGTGTGTCTGTGTGTGTCTGCGTGTGTCTGTGTGTGTCTGTGTGTGTCTGCGTGTGTCTGCGTGTGTCTGTGTGTGTCTGTGTGTGTCTGTGTGTGTCTGTGTGTGTCTGTGTGTGTCTGTGTGTGTCTGTGTGTGTGTCTGTGTGTGTCTGTGTGTGTCTCTGTCTGTGTCTCTGTCTGTCTGTCTGTCTGTCTGTCTGTCTGTCTGTCTGTCTGTCTGTCTGTCTGTCTGTCTGTCTGTCTGTCTGTCTGTCTGTCCTGTCTGTCTGTCTGTCTGTCTGTCTGTCTGTCTGTCTGTATGCTGTGTGTGTCTGTGTGTGTGTGTGTGTGTGTGTGTGTGTGTGTGTGTGTCTGTGTGTGTGTGTGTGTGTGTGTGTGGTGTGTCTGTGTGTGTGTGTGTGTGTGTGTGTGTGTGTGTGTGTGGTGTGTGTTGTGTGTGTGTGTGTGTCTGTGTGTGTCTGTGTGTGTGTGTGTGTCTGTGTGTGTGTGTGTGGTGTGTGTGTGTCTGTGTGTGTGTGTGTGTGTGTGTGTCTGTGTCTGGTGTGTGTGTGTGTGTCTCTGTGTGTGTGTGTGTGTGTGTGTCTCTGTGTGTGTGTGTGCGTGTCTGTGTTCTGTGTTCTGTGTTCTGTGTTCTGTGTTCTGTGTTCTGTGTTCTGTGTTCTGTGTTCTGTGTTCTGTGTTCTGTGTTCTGTGTTCTGTGTTCTGTGTTCTGTGTTCTGTGTTCTGTGCTTCTCTGTGTCTGTGTGTCCGCGTGTCTGTGTTTCGTCCGATGGTTCAAAAAATCTTGCAGGTATCGCATCTCTGCTGGCGAACGTCTGGGGTCGGGGCCCATAAATCTGCGGCGTGTTCCTCGCTTCAGCAAGAACTTTTTGCAGCTTTGAAAGCTCGCTCGGAGAATTGGAGAACGACGGATCTGGACACAGAACTCATGCCCTGATGTTGGGCGGCATGGTCATGGAATGTCATTCAACGCCTTCTTCTTGTAGGAGCCAGGAGTTGTCCAAACCTGGCACGAGAAAAAGCTGACATCTGCCTCAACTGCCCTCATCCCAACCCAAGCCGTCTCCAAGCCTCAACACTCAACTTACTTCAACTTACCCCAACTCTAAAAACCAGCTCTTGCCCAGAGCCGGAGTCCTGGGGTCTGGGGGCCGAACTGTCATGGGCCCAAGGTCGCCCCGAACCTCGGCCGGCTCAGCACTAAAGAGCAGCCTGGGCTTAGCCATGAGGGCAAGCTGTAGCCACTGCGCAAAGCTTCCAAACGGTCAATGCCGTTCTTGGAGCTTTCATGCCGCCCACTGGAAATCAGCAGGCTGGCTGCCAGGTCAATGCGGATGGCCGCGGGTAGAATTTTGTTGTGAAGCCACTGGAGGCAAACTGTGGCCATTGTTTGTTGACGAATCAGGGTTCCCACGCTGCGAGAAAGTGTTTTCCCCGGATCAGGGCAAGGAATTCCTTCCTTACACTCGCACTGCACCCCCCCCCCCCCCCGCGTAAAAAAGCTTCCAGGCCGGATCTCGTCAAGCCAGTGGCTTATAAATAAGGGGGGCCAGTCAAGAGGTATGGCAGTAGCTGAAGCGACGCGACCCGCTTCAGATTCGTGAAGAGGTAAACTGATTCTCGCAAGCATGAGGCCATGCAATGGGGACCCGCGCCACCAACAAACGCAAGCGACCATCAACAAAAACAGTACTAGGCAGCGACACCACAAGTTATTGCGTGAAAACCCTCTCCTATCCTGTGATCAGGCAAAAGGTGCAGTTGCACATTGGGGCCTCGGGGCAGGGTGTTTGTTATGTTGTTTGTTTTTGTTTTTTTCTTCATGTCGTTGCACGCTGCCAAACGCATCGCGACTTTCGATGTGTTTAGCACCTTTGTTCCCGGACCTGTTTTGCACGCCTTGTTTTCTTGCCTTATTTTTCATACTTGTGTGATCTGAAACCATGCTTTTTTTTGGGGTTTCTGCATTTCTTCTCTGCTTCATTACTGACTGTGTCTCCTTAGCTACTTCTTCGTTTTACATCGGCTGCGCCTTGGGTTGGGGGAATGGAAAGGGGTGGGGGGGCGGGGCTAAGCTTCAACGCAGTCCCTGTCCGGCAGTAGGTCTGCGGCTGCCAGGCAGGTGATTAGCATGAACTCGACGGGTACCTCCGTGCTTTGCATCTCAACGCTCTTGTGGAACATGTCTCCGGCCGGTGGCTTGTCTATCACGGCAGCTCATGACTAGCGACGAGAACGCGGACAGACGTGTCATGAGGGCAACAGCACTGCAATTGAACAGTCCCAACATGATGTCAGCTCCGTACAGTTGTGAGCACAGTGCGCACACACCCATCCTCCTGGCCCTTGCACTGGATGTCGAACCTGAGCAGATGTGCAGCTGTGCATTCTCCCGGCCCTGCCATGTTCTGGGTTGGAAGACCTACAAATGAAGCATTGCCGGCCATGCATTGGCAAGCACGCCTCCTTATACGCAGACTGAGCTGGCGGCATCACGCCGCAGAATGTATGATCTTCGTGATCACGTGTGTCCGCAGTGAAGGTCTCGTGTATGGTGTGGTTCGCCACCTTTCAGCGTCTTTCTCTGCGTACTTCTACACATGCGGTCACATTGCACATTTGACAATACGGACTTGAAGAACTAAAATTCATTGATGCGTGTTAGGACGGGTGAGTCTTGAGTTCACATGTGCCTTCTGCAGCCTATACTATACAGTCTACAAGGGTATGTGAATGTTTCAGCCGTGCCTGCCTTGGGCCTGCGCATGACTGCCGGCACATACCTGGACATACTGAACCACTTGCAGTAGCTTTTCGATGTTTTCGATGCTCAAGGAACGCGCAATAGCTCTACTTGTGAAATACACTGAGCTTCCAACTCATCCTCGGACTCGCTCTGATAGAAGAACATGACTACCAGCTTGGGGGTGGCTAGGATCTGCTGCTCTTCCCCCTCTTACCCATCAACATGCGCTTTCTGAAAAAATGCCTTGACACAGGTTGCTTCTTCGGAAACAGCACTCCCGCTATTCATACAACAGTTGGTCCAAGAAGCGGCGGCAAATACGACCAGCTTGGGGTGACTTGGATGTTTGCGTGAAATGGTGGTGGTGCAATGGCACGCAACCATGATCTGGGCCGAGAAGGGACCCACTACAAACAACAATCGAGATGAACCCATACTGTTGGTTGCGAATGCCCCAAGACTGCCGATGACGTTGTGTAGTTGCAAAAATTTGCAAAAGCTGAGCCCGTTGACCCCTTCAGGCCCATGTAGGTCCTCCAAGCTTCACTCGGGATGGCGTCCAAGTACATGGAAAGAAACAAGGATAAACAGGGGTTCGTCTTCAACTCTGCCCAGCATTCCCCAGCCGAGCCATGCAATGACAACCTCAAGCTGGGGAGTGCCGCCTGCGAAGGCCAATCGCGATTTCATGCATCGCCTTTACCAGCTCCAGCTCTTCACGAGCATCGGGTATCCACGGACAGTTGGCCGGCACTTTCTGTTCTGGCACGGCAAGCGTGCCTCAGTTGCATGGCCTGGGTATGGGTGAACAGGTTTCCGAAGTGCACAGTTTTCTGCAAGGTAGCAGCAGCAAGACGATTACAGCTTTAGTTGGAAGTCCACCTCAGCCCAACTTGCATGAAAGCTGTGTAGTGTCGGGGGCTGGACGCTGAGCTGTGCTCATGCACAGCTGGGCGTAGAGCCTGTCGCGTTGGGCACCTGCTCTTCAGCACCAACGCCAAAAACAGAAGTTGAGAAAAGGAGCGGAGTGCTCTGCACTCTTGAATCTATGGAATCGCCAGTGAATTTTTGCCCAGGACTTGTGCCACAGGGCCGGCTGTGCAATCTAAGCCGTGGCATAGGCATGTAAAGAACATATTTTCTCTCCCACTTCTGTAGTGAGACATTGTCGTGATGCTGCCAAGGATGGGCATACATCAGCATACAGAATCGCAATTTCTGCGCAAAGGCTGAAGAAATGCAGTGCAAGTACTAGAACTCCCTAATTCTCACTGCAGGTGCACTGCGTGTGCTCGTTGCTGGACTCAGCTTTGCAGTGCCTTCCAATTCTTGCAGACCTCCATGTACCTGGGCTTAAAGAAGCACATGTTTGAGGCAGGGCTTCGCGCCAGGTTTAGGGTTGCCATGGCTTGCCTCAAGCACTCAAAGGTGGCTGGCTTGGGGCAATCAGACGGGCAGCGCTTCACCCGCAGCATTGACAGAGCCATCATCGTTGAACAAGCGCAAGTTGTACGTGCCTTGCACGGGCACTTCGGCACGAGGGGCACTCAATCGCCCGAGGGAGACGCCCTGCGACACAAGCTCACCCTGCCTCCCTCTCGATCTTGGTTAAACCAAGCAAAGCTCTTCACAACGGGTCGACCGTCACTTGTCTTGACGCCAATCGCGATCCTCGGCATTCAGGTCTCTCAGAGGGATGGCCTGATCTTGCCCGAATTTACCGTCATTTACCGTATCACACTCGTATCACTGTAGCATGTTGTAGTTGTAACACAATAAAGACGTAAAGATGCGAAGTCATGCGAAGTCGTGGCTTTCCTCACGACGACGGTGTCCATGGCTTTAACGGTATCAATGGCTTTCAACGGTATGGCTGGTACTCACGGCGTCAACGGCATAAACAGCGTCATTGGAATCCACGGCGTTCATGGCTTCACGGTATTGCACATTCATCAGCAGTTTTCAATTTCACTGCGCCAGCAGCTTCAACAGCGTCAACCAAAATTCAGTACTGCCTGTATAGGGCGTTTGCCTTACTGAGTGCAGTAATGACTGGACCCAAGTCACGTTGTTTAGGGGTGGCCAAGGCAGTTTGCATCCGAAACGCAAGCCAATGCAACACGGTCTGGAGCACCTTTCGGGACCATCTGGTCCTAAAACTCAGCCACGTCTGGATCTGATGACTGATGAACTCTCTGAGAACTTCTGAAGGCCGAAAACACCGTTAATGCCATGGTTGTCGCGGACTGTGGTGTTGGTGCATCTTTGCTTGCAACCGGCTCTGCCCGATGGTGCTCACCGGGTGCTCACCGGGTGCTAGACGGTGTTGAATGATTGGCCTTCTGCCTTTCCTGCGTGCTTGGGGAGCTGTGACGACCCGGCGACCAGCTTGTGTAATATACCTTTTCACAGGTGCAGTGAAGGAAGCATATGTCAACCACTTGTGAAGTTCGTCGCGCCACTCGAGAAATGAAGGCGAAGCCAATAATCCACTTGAGCCAACCTATGAGGTTTGGGGCTTCAGAGTGGAGAATTGAAGTGCGTAGAGTGAATTGCATAGAGTGAATTGCATAGAGTGAAGTACAAGTTAATAGAAATCACGAGATTTACGTAGAATTTAGTAGACCTTCGTACCCAGTCCTAGATTTCTAAATTAAAATTACTCTTTCTAAGGCGACGGGCTGGGTTGACATCGCCAATCGGGATTGCAACCCTCTGCGGGTTTCGGCGTGGTGGCGATGCTAAAACCGTCGTTTTTTGACGTTTCTTTCTGTGCGCGGACAACCTTCTGCGGGTTTCGGCGTGGTCGCGGTGCTAAAACCGTCGCTTTTTGACGTTTCTTTCTGACCGCGGACAACACTCTTCGGGTAATCGCCGGGTCGCGGTGCTAAAACCGTCGTTTTTGGTAGCAGAACCTGGCATATTGCGAGGTTCATGAGACGCACTGCGGGGTATGTCACGGGCTCTCAAGGCCATGCCACAGAAGCAGTCGGTTTTTGAAGTTAGCCCCAACCGGTTCTTCACCTCCCAAGCCCATTTCGCGACAGAAGCAGGGTTCATAAACACACGGGTAATCACTGGTATGAACGATTATGAACGAGTACAAGAACTCTAAGATCCTCCACAGCCGGTCTCACTGCCACGGCCCCTTTGCATCCCTTTGCATGTTTGTTTTTTCCCTTACTCCAAGCCAGAGGAGCTCCAGAATTCGGGTAACGAAGGATGCCAGGCCGTTGGGGAGTTCATCATTCACTGGGCAACCTCGGTACAATGTTCGTACCTACTTCACCAAAAAGCGGGTTCACTCAAACCTTTGAAGCGCAGCTCCAGACCAAGCAACTGAAGTCTGGACCGTCCTTTGCGGGGTAGCTGCCCGAGTCAGGGACGCAAATAGGATCATCCTCTGTCGGACCGGCGCAGTTTAGCATGCCGACCTGGACAGGGGTCGATTGCCCATGGCATTCTTACAGCAAGGTCTTGTCTTGGAGTATCCTTGGAGTTTTAGAGCCTTTGAGTGCATGTGGGGCAGGTGTGGGGCAGATGTGGGGCACATGTGCACATGCAGCACTACTCCAAAGGGCTGAGAAGCGCCTCGTTGACGATGGCACCTTTAACGAAAGGGTATTTCCTCGGCATGGCTGTTTCTGAATCTGACACACTTTCAACGGTGCCCCCATATGCAGCTTGGAGTCTCCATCAACTGTCCAATTTCCTTCACTCTTGCCTCACGGTGATACGATGGCACGGCGACTTGGCCAGCCTATCCCCCTGCCGGCAACCCAGTCCTCGAAGTTGACATAAGCCGAGGTTGACTCCGGCTGGCAGTCGAAAGCGTAGAAATGTAGCCCAACCTGAGCAGAGATCCCGAGAAAGAGAAGCACTTGAGATCTTGCACAATGCCTGCTCCACGGCTGCGTGACTGCTGTTTGCTCTTGCGACAAAACGGATGTTTTGGTGCTGCGTGGTGCTGTCGGAACCACAGGCCCGCTTCTGTTATCACGGCTTGAACGTGGAAGCCCAAGCAACGTAGGCAGGACAGCCGCAGCTTGCATCAGTGCACCCGCAAACCTCAATGATTGTTGGCACAATGGCATGCTAACCTGATATAGCCGAATGGATAGCACCACAGCACCGTGAGATCTTCCACGATATTTATTGATCTCTCAAAGCCTAGCAATGAAAACATCGGCTGTGGATGGAGCCTCCGGTTAGAGGGTCTTATGTAGCAGTCACAAGCATAGTTTAACGTTTCTAGGGCTGCTCTGGATTTGATACAGCTTGATTCCAAACTGCGCTGTACCAGCAGGGCACTGCCGAAACACTGGACACTCACAGCGCCCCCACGATTACTGCTTTTCAGGCGCTCCATTGTGGCAGTCGCAGGCGTGTTCGATGAACTTCTCTGCGTAGCTTACATATACCTGAGCATAAAATACCCAGCAGCATGGCATGTGTGACTTGTCACTGTGGCTCGGCACAAAGCAAATTTCTATAACTGCAAGGCAGGCATGTGTTATCATGATGTTGCCTACACGAGTGAACAAATGCATATCCTGGTTGTGCGCACCCTTTGTTGAAAACGCGTTCATTACACATCACTCTTCTCACGACTTTGCTACCCCCAAGTTCAACCATTTTCTTGGTGGAGCTGAAAGTAAGTCACCGGACCTATGGTGACCGTCTGGTGGCCCTTACCTGCGGAAGTATGTCCAGTTGCTGCTGAGGCAACCCCAACAGCCCAAATCCAAGGTGCCGCCAACAAAGGGGTCGTGAGGTACTTGTAGCCCTTGCTGACAGCAATGGCGGCAGTTTGCTTCCAGTTGTCCATGACTCTGCCGATGCAGCCCCTCAGTTGGTGGCGCCCAAAACTTCAAGCGACATTCGAACTGGCAAAAAGTAGCAAAAGATGCAAAAATATCCGAGGGACGGCTCTTGTTCCCAAAGCTCTGGGAGCGGCTGCAGCGCAGAACAGCCGTTCACAGACCAGAACCCGACGCCTGTGGCATAGGAATGCTCCCAGCAATTGCCTTAGCTCCGATCATTGTTTGTGTTCCCGCGCGAGCTTCCTTGATTCTCTATCCACTCCGGGTAGATTCCGGGCGGAGCCCGTCGTGCTGTTCTGGCCGGACGCGCGCCCGCATCAAGTCTTGCAGATAGCTGTAGCAAAGTTGCACATGCCTCGAGAGTTGGCAGCTGCAGGTGGGAGGTTCACATTCGGCTCCTCAGAAGGAGGAACCCAGCTGCAGAGGTAGCAACAGCAGGTGTTAGCAGCACTTTCATACTTTCTGTTGTGGATTCGACAAGGAAGGTCTTGAGGGAGGCGCAAGCAACAACAAGCGGGTCTGTTCAAGTTGCTTGATATCGACACTGCAGCGAAGAGTCCGCCCTCGGGCAATCATTGCTGTTTCTGGCAGCATCATCACAGGGCCTTGGGTGATTGTTGCACGACACGCGTTGGCAATCGAAAGCTGCGCTCTGGCAGCGGCATCTCTTAACTCTAGCCAAGGTGCTTGACGCACTTGCCGAACATGTTGCCCATGCAGCTTCCCTGGATGTCGGGCTCGTTCATGCCCATCATGATGTTCGCCATTTGCGCCGGAGATCGCCTCCCGTGGCCATCCTCGAAGTTCGTGGTGTCCGCCTGGCGCACCCAGTCCTTGTTCACCACGCCGGATCCCCAAACCTCTGGCATGAAAAGGAAGTCCGCGGTGAGGGGATCCTCCGGAGCGAGGTTCCAGTTCCAGTACACCACCTGAAAAATGCGGCTGTGCAGGGGGCTGTGCAAGATTGTGCAGGGGGCTCTGACGACGCCTCCTTGGCCTCACCTTAAAAAAGGGGCCTTGGGAAACGAAAAACACGTCGGCCTTGTTCAAGGAGCTGCTGAGCTTCAGCGCGTCGATGAAACGCTGTGTTTCGGGCAAGGCTTCGCCATTCTCCGAGATGCCAGGGATCTTCCCAAGCAGCCCGCAGCCCCAAACCGGATCGTCCTGAGAGACGTCAGTACCGAACATGGTTCCCATGCGTTCTTGGCGGTTCCGCTGGACTTCGGCACCCCACTCGATATCCCTTCAAGTTTGACGCCAAAAGCTTTCCCAACAAAGTTGCACCTGCAGGGCGGTGGTGCTGGCCCGTAAACGGCGACTGTCGCTTCGAAGGTCGAACTCGGTCTCCGCTGGGGTCCCAAGATTGAGCCTCGAAATTTATCTCATCTCAATACAAGCTGTTCCCTTCAGACCAAGGCCAGTGCCAGCTGATGCCACTTTTGACTTAAAGTTCGTTTGTGTGCGTGCGTGCACACCTGAACAGGGTCACGGACTCAGATACAGTGGGCTCGTGACCAGTCCAATCTGTATCACACCATATCAAACAATCAGCTATCAAAAGCAGCTGGAAATGCGAGAATGGAATTGCAATTCTCAGAGCTTTGTGATGTTTTTGGAAGCTGCGCACCGCAAACCGTCGAGGTTGCAATGCCCCATTACACATCAACCTACCGATGTCACGTAAATGTGGATGGGTGGATGAGTGTGTCTGTGGGGGTGTCTGTGTCCGTGTGCGTGCGTGCCTCTCTGTCTCTGTGCCCCTGTGTGCGCGCATGTGAGTTTTGAGATGTCTTATGCCTTCAGATGCCTTCGGTGGAAACCTCGCGGCACGTTGAATCCAAGCCGAGATGCAAAGAATCTGAGGTTGTGAGCCTGGACCCCTGGCAGCAGGGAGCGATGTTTTCCCATGGTGTGCCAAATCGGTTGAACCACCCTCTTGCAGGCGCAAAGGTCATTATGCAGCTTGCTAACTTCCAAGCTTTCCTAAACTGCACAGGACGCAATACGGCGCTTCGACCCAGAGTTCTCAAAGCAAGCTGCCAGGCCAAGCAGGACTGCTGAAGCAGTCAGCCCAAGTGCCGTCTTGAAGAGCCCTGAGATGGGTACACAAACGTTGCAGCTAGGCAGGGCTGCATGGGATCGATTCGTGGCGGGCTGCCGCATGCCTTCTAACTCCACACTAGAACCGTAGAGGTTTGGAACTATAATAGCAGTGGCGGTGCACTCAGGACGGTTCTTGAAACAACCAAAGCCCCGATGCCGTGTAGCTGATGCAAACGATCTTTTTGCTACTTCGCACCTTGCCTCGTGCGGCAGAGGCCCTCGGCTGCTCGTCGCTGGGCTGCATGCCTCAAGAAGCACAAGGGGAGCACAGGAGGCCATTAGGAACCCCTGGATGTGCTCTTCCCCAAACAAACACGCTGCAGGCAAGCTTCTTTGGACCAACTAGCAGCCTGTGAAGGCTCAGTGCGATCCCCGCGAAGCTCACACAAAGCGCAGGAGCCAAAACATGCAGCAGAAAAACCCCACACCGTACTCTTGGGGCCTAGGGCTTTGGGCTTCGAAGAAAGCCCATGTCGGGACCAGCTTCCTGGCCCGCACAGGGACGAGTTTAGTGCCACAAAAAAAGCATTCGGAAAGCATCTCGCAACTACACGCAGTGTAGGTTTCGACTTTCGCGTCAAGACCACAGGGCACCGCAAGAAGCAACCGCGGATGGGATGCTTAACTTAACAACCAACTTGCGTAACTCTTCAGCCTCGTTAGCTTGGACATTTCTATCTTGATGGCGCCCAATCTGAAAACGTGTCCAAATAGCTGGTGGCTGTCAGGGTCGAATCGTATTGCCACTGTTCGACGCAGGAAACGCCTAAATTGCCTTCCTATGCCCTCTTGCACGGGAAACATCGTGGAATCTGACTTTCAATCTTTGACTTAGCTTGGACTTTCACAACTACAAACGTGGGATCGGTCTTTTGTCGCTGTTCTCAGCGTCTGAGCTAGTGACTGCTTTATCTACCCCGCATTAAGCAAAACATAGCAAAACTTTGGATACTATTGTTCTATCTGGTAGGCTTTGGGCCTTGGGCAAGCTCGAGCTTGCAGAAGGGGCTCTGCGCTCAAACCAAGCTGTGCGTGTGGTCAAATGGCAGCCTCACGTTCTCAGAACGCTGTGCGTGAGTGTTCCTGCTGTGGAGAATATCAGAATATCTCAAACACATCAATCATGCCACAGGCAACCCCAAAGCCAACTTGCAAGGAGGTGGCGCTTTTAGAACGCCCATGTCTTGGAGGTCGTTCTTCTAGCCATGCCTTGGGCATGGCTTGAACAGATGCGATGGCCCGGCTGCCTTGAAGGCTTGGGGGTGAAAGTTGCAAGCGGTCGAAAAGCCTCTCTTCCGAAGACCCGGTCCCAACCACCACAACGAAGATAGTTCTAAACATCGTGCTGCGATTCGCCGGATTGGGAAATCCCTGTCCCCGGACCAACTCGGACCGCATTGCCCATACCCAAAAGCTGGGCTCGCTCTACGTCAAAATAAGAGTGCCCTGCCGCCTTCATGCATTTTTGCATGTTGCCGGACAAAGCACGCTACAGAGTCTAGCTGCTGCCAGGATTTTGAGATCAACCATCGTGCTGTGAACTGTAGTGGGTTTTGCTCTCCGCTGCTCTCCCTTCTGTTATTCGTAGAATTTCTGCAGCTATATGGTAGGAGGTGTAGGAGATGTATAGGCATCAGCGGGCAGGCCGTGGTGCCCACGTCAGGCCTTCCGTTCGCAGCCTTGGCATGGAGGCCATCCCGAACAAAACGCAATCCAATTCAACTTCTACTTCTACCGCTCTCTTCTTATTCTGCTTCTTCTTATTCTTCTTCTTCTGGTGCGCACTTGAGCTCTCTCTGTTTCTCTCTCGCTCTCTCTGTGCGGGCACCTGCACGGTAGCTTCTGAGCACACATCCACCCCAGGAATTACACTGGCATCCAAACACTATGCTCGTGACTGGAGGACGATCTCGTTGCCCTCGGCTACGACCTCCCAAAGCTGGCACCCACAGCCCCAGCCACGCAAGAATGCAACTCATACGACATGGGGCGGGGGGGGCACTCCGAGCCCTGCCCTGGAATGTTCAGTCGGATTGAAGTAGATGCTGCTTCATTATCTTCAGTTAGCAGAGCATGCTTCAAAAGCCTGCCAGCCATTCTCCGCCGCCTTTCTTGCCTTCGGTCAAGATGGGTGTTTGCGCTCTGCCATGTTGGTGGTTAAGGACTTGCCATTAGCACGGTGACATCACTCAGAACGAGCGCACGGCCAGCACTTGGTTCGCGCGCAGCGTCTCGCTGGCGTAGCGGAGTGCCTCCAAGATGGGCTGCGACTAGCCAGTTGGAGATCCACTTCCCCCAAGCCCGGCCTCTCCATGCTGTGAGACGGCGGCTTCCATCACCTCATAGTCTCCTTGCAACTCCTGGGCTACTCTGTCCAGATAAAGTGAGCGGGGTGGGGAGGGAGTGAGGAAGGGAGGGAAGGAAGAAAGGAGGGGGGGCGCTTGCAGATTGAGGGCTAATGGGGGCACAGGCCACAGTAGTAGGCAACTATGCCAAGTGTCCTCGTCGATGAACTGCACAGCTTCCCAGCTCTGCTTGATGGCAAAGAGTGCTGCGCATGGGCTTTCAACACGCTGAACAAAACTGCCGCGAAGGGCTTGTGCGGCGATTCCACTCTCCAGCACAACATCATCAACATGCCGGGCGCACCCAGCTCTTTGTTTTGAGTGAGCTCGGAGGACGCGTACTGCAACGCCCGCCAGTCGTTGGCAACTGCCTGGGCACTTTCGAACCCTGACTGCTTCGCTTCGGTTTGTGTTCAGGGCCAAGGGGTGAGAGTAGCAGATTGATGAAGCAACGCCATGCACGGAGCCTCTTTGACTATCTCGAGGTCCTCCCTGAAGGCTTGGTAGAAGGCATGCCGGATGGAGCAGCCATCCTGAAAACCCACATTTAGTAGCAGTGTCCCGAAGCACTCGCACGCCTGGATGATCTACTCCTCTTCGTTAGGAGCTCTACGTTCGACGTTCAGTGCAAATTATTTGACGGGGACATCATGGAAAGCTTGCACAGAAAGTCCTTGCGAGCTGCCTCCAGCACTACCTGAGACAGAAGCCCTTACAACGCAGGGGGGCAAGAAGGAGAGAACATCTTGAAGGTCGCTGAATATCGCTAGGAAGAGGGGCGCTATGTCATGAAGACGAACTTACACGGGGGTTTCCGAAACTAGGGGCCCTTATTCTAAGGGGATCCTACTACTTGGGATCTATATTGGCGGTCCCCTATTTTCAAAAACCCCCACAGGAGAACGGAGGACGGAGGAGACGCCAAGCAAAAAAAAAAGTCTTTAATGCCGGCCTCTCGGTCACAGCGCAACGCCTGGGAGGCAAACTGCAAGGCGAAGCCGGAGCTCTGCAAGGCCTCGAACATGCTGCCATTTATCCGCCCTTGCTGTTTTCGGCTCCGCACATGCCCCTTCAATCCTTCTACCGGCTTGCTAGCATTCCACTGAATTACTCTGGAAAGCGAGGGTTCTGCATCATTCGAATGCCCATTCCCGGCGAAAGCTTCCGCAAGATGATGGGCTGGCACACGAAAACGAATTCTCGCACATGTTGTCGATGCTGTCAATTTTCGTAGCAGCAAACCGACAAAAGCACAGCAAACACCGCAGGACCCCAACGACACTGGCTACGATTGGGCCGCCTGAAGCACGAAACTTTTGTCTGCCCGCAAGTTGTCGCCGGTAAATTGGATGGCCTGCCAAGCTTCGCAGATTTTGACCACGTGTCGCTAGCTTCTACTAGTAGTACCTATCGTTCGTCCTCTTGCTCTGGGCACCGGACCCGCCAGTCCTGCTTGACTGCCTAGGAATGATAAGCGCGTCAATGAAAGTTGCTGTTCGACTTGCACAGCACAAGCCAGACTATATCCAAAATGCGACTTTGCAAAATAAAGCTAGCAAAGCTACAGAGAACCGGCAACGTTGTGTTTTGCACGGGTGGCAGAAGCAAAGCACAAGCAAGCGGTCAATGGTGAAACGCAAAAGCCAAAACATGCGAAGCTGAGCGATGCTGTGTGGCTAGGTCGGTTGTTGCTTGAGCACGCATGGCTTCTTGTTGGAGTACACATAACCGCATCTCCTTTGTCTTTCTTCTCTGTCCTTCCCTTTGCCTCTCTCTCTGTCTTTTCCTTTTCCTTTCTATTCGTTCAACTATAGGAACTGGACCTCAATAGGTACTCGGCTTGCTCTTGTTGTTCGTGCTTGAAGCTGCCAACGACGTCACAATGCTCTCGGCTGACTACATTTTGTTGCTTTGTTCGCGTTGAAGCATTCTTGTCCGGATCTTCAAGTAGGTTGTTGACTGCTTCACATCAACCAAAACATGGCACAGCGAAATGCCTGTCAACAATGTTCCAATAATGAAGTTACTACGAAGTCCACGTAGTCGCTCATATTCGTTCACCAACTTCTCGTAGGCGAGCACATGATCCATCAACGATGCACCATTGGACATTGCAGGAAATCCAACCATCGCTTGTGCCATTGCCAAGTTTCAAAACCATCGTTGACCGCGATGCTTCGCAGTACTTTCAATGGTTGAATTCTCAGGCAGCTGCTTAACTTTATTAACACTGAGTACAGCTTCACACGTCTTCTCCATACCAGCTACAACAAATCGGCAGGCAAGCACAAAGTTCCCCCATTGCCGGCAACGTGGCTAGGCTGTTGCAGGTAAAGCGATCGCGAGCAAACAGGCACACCTGCTAGCACTGCAGTTGCGAACTGGGCTTCCAGCCGCTAGGCCCAACCTAGGATCCATTCGCACCGCCAGGGGCCTTGGCAACATGCGGCAATCTTTTTTTCTGAGCCCAGATCGCAGGTCTGTCCGAACTGACTGAGACCCGCGCGCTTTTCCGAGAGCCTGCCAATCTCCAGCAACTGCCTGCAATCGGGAGGCGACTGCTTGTGCCTCCTTCCGCGCTGAAAGAACCCCGGGCCTGAATCCATGCTTTGCACTCTGCGGGCCTCGGAACACGATCGTAGCAGACTCACTCACCTCCCTTTGCAAAATCCAAAGCTCCTGGCGACAGCTTGTGCGGTCGCGCGGGAGGTCGTGTGGGAGCATTTGCAGTGGCAGCGACGGTCATGAGCCTTTTGTGCCAAGATGCATCCAACAAATGAAAGTAGACGACCTCCAAAAGAAACCCAAAAGACCAATTGGCGCTATTTAGAGTATTTAGAGGAGAATGCGGAGGAAATGCCGCACCTATTCGGGTTTTTGGGGGCTCTTGGGCCTCGGGTCAGAGATGGCCGAATAACTAGGGCGCAGCCTAATCAGCGCTTTGCAAGGTCAGCTGACGCTTTGCATCGCGACAGGTTTTCTGCCAGCAGTTTGGGCGGGTGCATGTTGGATCTTCTGGACAAGTTACCATGATCAGCAACACATGCAACAAGTGAAAAATGCCTACAGGAAATTGCACAAGCTGCATAATTAGCCGCGTATGGGACAGCGGCTAGAAGAACTTTCAATGGTTTCCGCATGTGGTCTTCAGGGCACAGGACTTGCAAGCACAGCATAAAGATGGAAAGCTGATTGGGCGCAAGGCCCATTGCCAGAGGGTGGACATTTACTTTTTTTGTTTGGGCCTTTTTGTTTTTTTTTTTTTTTTTTTTTGGGGGGGGTTCTGCGGGTAGGGCGGGGGGGGGGGGGGGGGGGTTAGGGTTTCGACTCTCACACTAGCGGAACGCGGGCGAGGGGGGTTAGGGTTTAGGGTTTAGGGTTTGCTCGGGTTTATTCGGGTTTAAGGTTTAGGGAAAAAAGGGTCAAAAAAAAACGGCCAAAAAAAATGGGTCCCTATTGCCAGACCCCGGGTGGCTTCTGCAGATGGGCGAGGGATTTGAAAAATATATCAAACCTGCAAACAACTGTAAGATGCGAACAGCTCCGAGAAAGTGGCGTTGAATCCTGCGACACTGAGAGAGTGGCCGTCCCTCGACGTCAGGGCCCTTGCAGGCGAGCTCTCTGTTGGGAGGCTTGACGCGAGGAGGCTTTGGCAGCACGTATGGCGATGGCCTGCTGTAGCTAGAATAAACAAATAGTCTAAGTTCAATATGCATTTGCAGCACAGCTCCCCACTCAGGAAGCTGAAGCCCTTGCGCACTCGTGGCCCTACCCCGTCCCCAGGCCCCAAGTCAACAAAAACTATACTCATGTTTTGTTGTAAGGGCATTCGCGAATCTGAGCCGCAATTTGCAGCACCATGGCAAGGTACAGCATGCCGACGCTCCGAACACTCAAGTTAATTGTCAATCCGAACATGCCAAACGACGGTAAACCCGCGGCGGTTCGAGCACGCCAATATGCTGCAAATTTACAGCAGTTCGACATTCTGAACCTTTAAGTTGCAGCAATGAAGCCAAGCAACAAAGAAGTACGTACTCAGTATTCACTTCTATGTCATGTCTCTGGGCATGTCTTTGTGGCATTGTTCCGTGTGCCGTGACCTCATGTTGCATTTTTCTTTGTTTCATCTTCCTTTCTGAATGAAGCAAGCTTTGGTCAAACAGGCGTCCCTGTGTTCGTTCATTGCTCCGTTTTTCTTCATGTCTGTCTTTACTTCTTTCAGAAATGGATGCGTTTCGTATTTCTGCCTGCGTCTCCTATCTCTTGCTGCTCCTTCATCTGCCATGTAGATTAAAGTCTGCCTTCCTAGTAGACCATAACCGTTGCTTAGTTATCTTTGTTTGGTTGTTGTAAACGAAGGCACCTGGCGTCTTCGTCATCATTATTCTTTGTTTCCTTGGGTCTTTCTTTCTCCTGTTCAACTTGTTCTTTCTCTCACTTCCCTTGAGCAGCCTTCAGTGTGTGGAAGTCAAAGGATAACTGCCAATTAAATTAACTGTGCCCTTGAACCCGGTGAAGCATTATTTCTGCATGGTCGCGATTTGCTGGCTGATCCTATGTACATACGCCTCATCCGATGAGGTACACCGGCCGCACGGCCGCGCCAACGGGGCTTGACGAGCATTTGCTCTGCTCACGGGGCAAGATGGGAGTTGTATCAAGGCTGTCCGCCTGGCCCTGGATTACATTCTGTACACAGGCTTCTCCAAGACGTGTTCCTGCCAGTATTCGGCTTTCGGTGGGCTTCGATGTTCGGTCAGCACCTTTGACCCCAAACGTCCCCAAAGCTCCTCCTTTCTGCCATTCGGCCATCGAGTTGTGGTGCGGATGCCTAGATCACACAACAAGCACCCAATTTATTATCAAGGCTCCAAGAGATTAAATTTTGCTGCCTGGTCCTGAATGTGCGCATGCTGCTTTTGGACTAGGTGCGCACCCACTTGTGGCCATCGCTGCCCACAAATGGCTCCCTGTGAACATCCAGCCGGGGCCAGTTCTCCTCCGGGCGTGCTTTCTCAGTCACCTGCCACAAACTTGGTGGCGACGTAATGGCAAAGGCACAGTGAAGACCCAGGCCAACACACTCCCAAGTCGTGCCGAGCTGCCTCTTGCAGAGGCAGATGCGATGCTGCCTGCGCAGCGCGAAGAAGCCGGGCAAGAATGCCTCGGATGCGAGCTTGAGCAGAATGGCATTCCTGACGCTGCTCTGTGCCACCTCTTGTGCTTCCGCACCAGTGCGAGGGCCACTGTTGCCACCACATGCTAGCTCAAGCGCCGACTGCCTTGCAGTATTCGCCGAACCTTTTTACTTTCGACTACCAACTTCCTACAATGGAATGCGAAGGCCTCTGCAGATGACCCCAAGATGCCTTCACGGACAGCTGCGGTGTGGACTCCTGCCGTTAAATCGAGCCACAGCAGAGGGTGCATCATCGGCTGTGGTGACAAGGCTGCACAACTCTGCAATATTCGCCATACTTTCACTCCATGCTCTGTTTCTATTCATAATTAAATACCTACTACAATGAAAAACAAATGGGCCACTGTTTCGGGGCAAACCGCAGTCCTGGCTTAAGCCCCAATCGCCCCAACTCCTTGGGGCACTTCTTTGCAAGCTGTCCATGTTCTCCGGAATTCATGCGCAAAGCACACTTGCAGCACACTTCGCAGCTCCGGTTTCCTCCTGGAGCATGTCGTCTAAGCCGCGGCCGTTGAAAGCATCGCGGAAAAGCTTCTCTGCCTGCTCCTGGCTGACCGAACCTTGTCTAGGAGAGTCTACAGTAGGAGTCTTTCTCTGCAGGCTCACCGGCATTCACTTGCAAGTGGGCGGCAGAAGCGAAGCCATCCCTCTTTTGGAACAGCAGATGCATTTGATCCTGGTTGCGGACGGACGTGGCCAGTGGCAACTCCACACGGGTTGAGCTTCAATCTGTTTCCATGGGTTTCCTCCACGACCGCGCAGCTGCTGATATGCCTCGGCAACACGCCGAAAGGCCTCACCCTGCTTGGCTGCCTGGCAGATTGGAATGTGCACAGATCGCACAGATTGCAGGAAACAACCAGTAGCTGCTGCAACATGGGCGCGCGAGAGGGTGAAAGCAAAAACATGTCAGAGGTATATAAAGGGCAACGAACTCGTCGGCAGGTAAGGAGATGTTGTGCATGGAAGAAACCCAAACATACATGAGTGCACCGAGAACCCGCTGCTTCAACAAAACGTGTGGTGGCCAGAAGACGTATGTACCGAGGACCGCTCTCGCACAGCCCTTGCCCATCCTCACCTCGGTGCCGCCTTTGGCCAGATCTGGGTGCGTGCGCAAGGCGGCCTTGAGGTAGGCACTGCGGACTTCTGCGGCAGAGGCACCTGAGCTGATACACATGACGCTTCGGAATGCTTTGGCTACACCGCATCTGGCCTTCACATGCTTGCGGCAAGCTTGCGCCCCTGAAAACAATCTCGTTCAGCTGCAGCGGCCTCGGTGCACTCCAAGCACTTGGAAAGGGTCGTCGGCTTGTCGAAGTGTCCTGTCGCTGACTTACAGAGGTAAGGGTAGACGCTGCTGGAGCCTTTCTCGAACCCGCTCCCAACCTGCGGACCTGACCCCTCGGCTTCGCTCGCCCTTGCGCACTTCGCTGTGCAATTCCAACACAAGTGACAGCGCGTCTTTTCCCATCTTCTGGACAGTCCCGACGAAGCAGGGCAAGATGTGATGGTAAAGTCCGCGTGGGAGCTGCCACACCTAAGCACCATAGGATCCCGAGGTCGACAGGCATTACTGTATTACCCTGCAACCTGCAAGCAGGTGCAAGGGTTCTCTTGCTGCAGGAGTGCCTCAGCCCCGGGCCCATCGAGGGGGGCATGCACCAGGCCACTGCATTCATGAAAGGTTTAGGGGGTGTCCCTCCACTGTCCAGGTCTCGCATTTTGTACTCTATGGATTCTATGGATTGCTGAAACCGGAAAGGAAAGGACGTAGGAATATGGACAATATGGACAACAAACGACTCGATCCGCAAGCAGGTCTTTGTGCACAGATACGCCCAGTGGCTACAGTGACACAAGCCATGCCCATGACCGTCACTAAGGGCTTGAGCAAGTTGTATGGCTGGGAAAGAAACAGTGCCAAGTCGGTCGTCTCAAACGTTTGTAAACGCCTCAACGGGAGTCGTTGGCTGTCTGCGATGTTGTTGTGCGTGATGGTTCTTCGTGTACGGATGCCCTGACAGCTCCTGGCAATGGCCGAATCTTCTGACCTTTGTCCATGACTTCCGTTGTGGATGTTTCCCCATGCTGGTGCAGTTTGCAGATTGCCCCATCATTGCTAACCGCTGCTCGATGTTGGATGTCTTCTACGGAGAACTTGTTTCCATGCTATGGCCCGGCGACATCCTCAACCGCACGGTTGGCAGAGGATGCACAGGAGCTTGCGGACCCTGCTTAAGTTGAGTCAAGACTAGCGACTAATCCCTTCCCCCTAATATCAAAAGCCCTGGCCCCAAAACCCGATCCCGTACCCGTCCCTTTTAAAAACTCTAGCGAGTTACGGGGGGGTTAGGGGGGGTCGGAAGCCTCAAGCAGAAACTTGAGCCTTAACTCTGAAACAAACCTTCAAGACCCTTCTTTTTTGACAACCCTGTGCACCTTTTCTAGTGCAGGCCTCAAGACCCTTTAGGGTGTCGGGTTTGGGGATACCCGAAACCTTAAAACACCAAAGGAAATATAATGGAGCCAGCAAGCCACAAGGACGGGCTGTTTTGCTCGGACAGTCGATAAGAACCTCCCTTTAATGCTAGAAAGCCCCTTGAGTGTTTTTTTTTTTAACAAGGGGGGGCGGGGGAAGGGAGTATAATATTGGAGGGAAGGGATTACTCGCATGTAGGCTTTGGCTGGATCATCTTTTGAGCTCTTCGCAGTCCGATTCCTGTCCCCCCCCCCGCCCCCCCATCCTTTGGATGGAGCGACTGAACGGCAAGCCTGAGACAGATGAGGATTTGTCATTCATCGTGGCCAGTTCCAGCAATTTTCACGGTGGAAGCCTTCGTTCCCAAATGCCCGACGGGGAATGGCACTTAAAGTCATTTTGGCGAGCCCGACCATCATAGTTGGAAAGGAAACGAGATCTAATCATGTCCACGGGGCCGGATTGCGCCCGCTTGCAGCATCATCTGCATTGGCCCACTCGACATGAATCTCTCATCCTAGCCAGGAAATCTTGAAATGCTCCGCTGCGTGTCGGGTAAGGGAGATATACGGTGTGTGTGTGTGGGGGTTTAACGGCTAAACTCTAAACCCTAAACAGCGTCCTTCAGGAAGTTCAAGGCCGAAAACATCGCCTCGCCGCGGCTGCGCACGTCGCCTTCGCAGGAGACCGGGCCCTTGTGCTCGTTGCTGTTGGGGATACCTTGCGTGCAAAAAAAAGGAGGGCTGGCAGCCTAAACTCTCCAAGAAGCCTGACCCCTTTCGCAACCAAGCGATCCTCAAATAAAAGCAGAAGTGCCTCAGTGGACCTACATGCGTACAAGCCTCGAGCTCACAACCCTAAATCCCTGAAGTTCTTGTTGCTCGAAAAAAGACCGAAACGCCTCAGATCTCCGCATCCTAGACCTCTGAACCCCGAAGCCTCGCCTGAAACCTCGCGTCCTCAAATCCCACAAAGCTCTGAGCCTATCGCTGGCCGAGACTCCTAAACTTTCCCGAGCCCCTCAGGTCCGAGGCACAGTCATGAAAGTCGAACTGTCGGGTCAGGTCGAACTTCTGAGAGCTCGAGAGTTGGGGTTGCTGCCTTTGGCAACTGAAGCTTGCGGGCGCGGCATTTCGGGCTGCAGCAGGCTGGATTTCAAGGGGGATCGGACTTTCACAGGAGATCTGCTTTGGATACGAAGCTCAGGAGGTTATCCGATTGGGTTCTGGATGTTTTGGTGCTCAGGGGCGGCTTGGCGGATTCTTGAGGGGCAAAATGTTTTCTCTCTCGCCTCATGTTGAAGTCCTTGAGCACATCCTTCATGATGTTCAACATCTCAGTCCAGTTCATCTTGCACTGGGTCTCATGTACCTCCACTGCGACCCAAAAGGCAGCGGAACCTTGCAGCAAGAAAGAGCTCTGGGTTCTGGAGCAGCTTCAAACACAGCAGTGTGGGGTGCACATGGTTCAGCCCTATACGTTACATGGAAGCCACAGAACTCCAAACAAGAAACTCGGAAGCATATGTTAACGACTCTGAAACTGTCCTCGGGTAGAAAACATCTGCGCGCAGAAACATGGCATAGGGCTTTTCTAAGCTTTGAAGTGTTTAAGGGCTTCGGCTGGTAACACTTGCCACTGCAACCAACTCTAATCCCAAACGGCCTAAACTAAACGCATGTTGTTGGCTGGTCGAGACACACATCCCTGTCGGCATGCCCAAGGGGAACTGTTCACTTCCTCGTGCCAGCGCAGAATTTCCCACAGCGGTTTGGTCATCAGCGCAGCCCGAGATGCATATCCTGAGCTCAGATTGCCAACAATGCTCAAGTTTCATTCGTCTAGGAGCACAGGACCAATGCCATATCGGTTTCGGGTAGCGGGCTTTGTTCCTCGATCCAGACTTGTTGAGCAAGGCTTGCTTCAGGCTTCTGGTATGAACATAAACATATCGCTTCTGAAAAAGAAGCCTTCAGGGTCTATTCGACTATCTTTCTCCTTACATTAGGCAATCTTAAATACATTTCATTGATGTGTTGCAGAATTGACATTGATGTGTTACAGAACTGAATTGGCCCAAATTCAATTGTTTCCACTGTATCAAGTCTAGCTAATTCAAAGAATTGGCGCCATTGAATGGATGGCCCTGAACATAGAAACTAGCTCTAGTTTAAAGGGGCCACGAATGAAAACAAAACTGGAAGGAGTGGACTTAAGTCACATCAGTTCGCTAAAATACACATCGCCAAATTGTGGACACTCCTGGAGAGATTTGTGCATCAGCGACAAGACGACACGTCACCAGATGTATCTGCTGCGGCTCGCTCTCGCCTATCGTCCTTCATTACCAAATCGGTGGCCCTGCTCAATGAAATCCACCACGAGACAAGGTTCGAAGTTGCTCAAAAGCTGCGGACCTTTCTGAAAGCCGAAGAGTGAAGATTGAAGGCTGAATAGAACGACTTCCTGGGAGGATGCTGAGGACATGGCCTTGTTGTACATACAAAGGGCGAGGCTGTGACCTTTTGACATATAACAAAAACACCTCTCGAAGTTGCCTCGCGTACTGCATTCCACAAAATCATGTCGACACAAAGTGGCTGACAGGAAGACGGGTGCAGGCCTCTGCTATGAAGCCGAAGCCAGCATGGGTGTCTTTAACGAGTTCTGTTTGAGCAACTAGTTGATGCTCAGCTGGCCTTTAGAGGATTTCTTATGGGACTTGATATAAAATCCTAAATCAACTGAATTACGAATGAGGCCTGAAGAGAACAAAAACAACTGCCTAATGAAACTTCGTTACGAACCGAGATCCAGAGAAGGACTTCTCCAGATTCGGTCTGCTGTATGTTGTGCTAATTCAGCTTCATGCCAACGACAAACGAGGGACAAAGCCGACATACCGAATACTGCGCAAATTTCCTTCATGTGGCCTGAAGTGTGGCTTTTTTGCAGCCTTTTTTATATGTCTGGTGCCCCTGGTTTATTGATACTGGGTTTCGGCTAGAAAGCATGCATGGAGACACGTTATCGATGTCTGTGAGCAAATGACCTTCCTCTCGATGTTTTATGTCATTTAACAGGGCATTCTGTAAGAATTTGCTGGCCGCACTTTCCGAAATATTGCTCTGGGCCTTGTTCTGAAGGAAGAGCAATAAGGAATGACGGCAGAAATGTTGGGCTTTGTGGTGTAGTTTAGTTTCATGAGGAACTTGTGCAAAGCAGTTGCTTTTAGAGGCTGTAAGGAAGTTTACACACACACACTTGATTTCTGAACCCTATGTGCCATTGAACTCCACATCCCTAAGGTTCAAGGGGCCATAGGGGCTGGCCAACTCTTGAACAGAGCCAGCCTTAAATACAATGAGAAGCCAGCTTGCGATGGCCAGTTATCACTTAAGCCTTTACTGAAGTTGTTAAACAGAATCTGAAAGCACATTTTGCAAAGGTAATGGCTACCCCACAGGGGGGCCCAAACCACACCGGGGCGGGGCGGGGACCCTAAACCCTAAACCCTAAACCCTAAACCCTAAACCCCTAAACCCAAAACCCAAAACCCAACCCCCTAAACCCCTAAACCCCTAAAACCCAAACCCTAAACCCTAAACCCTAAACCCCTAAACCCTACACCCTAGACCCTCAACCCAAACCCCAACCACACCACCCCACAGGGGGGCCCAAACCACAGGGGGGCGGGGCGGGGACCCTAAACCCTAAACCCTCAACCCTCAACCCTCAACCCTAAACCTAAACCCTAAACCCTAAAAAAAACCCTAAACCCTAAACCCTAAACCCTAAACCCTAGACCCTAAACCCTAAACCCTAAACCCTTTTAACCCCTGGGCTGAGGCCGGGACGCGCGTATCATCCATACACAGGCAGAAGAAAAGAACAAAACCCTAAACCCTAAACCCTAAACCCTAAACCCCAGTCCTAAACTCTCTCTATCATATAATAATTTAAACCTTAATGGGGAACGTGGCCATTGGCAAAAAAACCGTGGCCATTGGCAAAAAAGCCGTGGCCATTGGCAAAAAAGCCGTGGCCATTGGCAAAAAAGCCGTGGCCATTGGCAAATTCGCCAATGGCCACGGGAAAGTTGCCAATGGCCACGGCTTTTTTGCCAATGGCCACCAATGTCATTAAGGTTGGTCGCCAAAATGGGTTTTTCAAACCCAATTCGCACAAAATGCCCCCCAACCTTAATGGGGAACGTGGCCATTGGCAAAAAAGCCGTGGCCATTGGCAACTTTTCGGGCTTTTTGCCAATGGCCACGGCTTTTTTGCCAATGGCCACGTTCCCCATTAAGGTTGGGCCCCAACCTTAATGGGGAACGTGGCCATTGGCAAAAAAGCCGTGGCCATTGGCAAGTGGCATTTGCCAATGGCCACGGGAAAGTTGCCAATGGCCACGGCTTTTTTGCCAATGGCCACGGCTTTTTTGCCAATGGCCACGGCTTTTTTGCCAATGGCCACGGCTTTTTTTTGCCAATGGCCACGGCTTTTTTGCCAATGGCCACGGCTTTTCCCCCCACCCCCCCCCCCCCCCCCCCCCCCCCCCCCCCCACCACCCCCCACCCACCCCCCCCCCCCCCCAACCCCCACCCCACCCCCACCCACCCCCCACCCCCCCCCCCCCCCCCCACCCACCCCCCCCCCACCCCACCCCCCCCACCCCCCCCCACCCCCCCCCCCCCCACCCCCCACCCCCCCACCCCCCCAACCCCCCCCCACCCCCCCCACCCCCCCCACCCCCCCCCACCCCCCCCCCCACCCCCCCCCCCCCCCCCCCCCCCCCCCCCCCCCCCCCACCCCCCCCCCCCCCCACCCCCACCCCCCCCCCCCCCCCCCCCCCCCCCCCCCCACCCCCCCCCCCCCCCCCCCTACCCGCCCCCCCACCCCCCTTCTCTGTTCTGGCCCAGACCCCCATTCTGGGCTTGAAAACCTGGGTCTGGGCCAGATCAAGATGAAGGCTTTGCGGGGCCGGGCAACACGGCAGCCCCTTCTTGGTGTTTCTCGGGGTGGGAAACCATTCTTTGGGGTTGGAAACCTGGATGAGGGCTTTGCAACCCCCCCCCACCCCCCCCCCCCACCCCCCCACCCCGAGAACGAATGCAGAGAAATAGAGAACGACTTCAAGGGCTCGCAAGGCGGGTTTCCAGCCCTAAAAACTCCAAGACCATAATTCCCAACCCCCCCTTCAAAAGGCTCCAGAGAGGGAGGTTGGGAAGGCGGGTTTCCAGCCCAAAACACTCCAAGACCATGATTCCCAACCCCCCCTTCAAGGGCTCCAGAGAGGGGGGTTGGGAAGGCGGGTTTCCAGCCCAAAACCATGATTCCCAACCCCCCCTTCAGAGGCTCCAGAGAGGGGGGTTGGGAAGGCGGGTTTCCAGCCCAAAACACTCCAAGACCATGATTCCCAAACCCCCCTTCAAGGGCTCCGAATTCGGGTAGTTGGTTCTAGGGTGGGTTGGGGATTGGCTCGAACTGGAATGGTTCGAGGGTGGGGTGGGGGAAAACAAAACATGAGGTTAACAAAATTAGGGTTTTTTTGTCAATCCGGACCAACACTTTTGGTTCTACCTTCGGTCTGGGGAAAGCAAGCGCGAAGACAAGGGACATGCGACAAAGCCGACGAGCACGAAGGGAGGGGACATACGACAAATTTTAAGGGCGCGAAGGAAAGGGACATGCGACGAATCTGTAGACCTTTCATCAAACCATACGAGCACGAAGGGAGGGGTCATACGACAAACCCTCCGAGCACGAAGGGAGGCATACGACAAACCCTAAGAGCACGAAGGGAGAGGGCGTACGACAAACCTGTAGACCTCTCGTCAAACCCTACGAGCACGAAAGGAGGGGACATACGACAAACCTCGAAAATAAACCCGTACATTTCTCAATGTTTTGGGATTCTCTGCAAGCAGACAAAGAGGGACATACGACAAAGCCGACGAGCACGAAGGGAGGGGACATACGACAAACCCTAAGAACACGAAGGGAGGGGACGTACGACAAACCTGTAGACCTCTCATCAAACCCTACGAGCACGAAGGGAGGGGACATACGACAAACCCTACGAGCACGAAGGGAGGGGACATACGACAAACCTCTGAAAATAAAATCTCAGTTTCTGAATTCTTGGGATTCTTTGCAAGCAGACGAAGAGGGACACACGACAAAGCCGACGAGCACGAAGGGAGGCGACATACGACAAACTCTAACAGCACGAAGGGAGGGGACGTGCGACAAACCTGTAGACCTCTCATCAAACCCTACGAGCATGAAGGGAGGGACAAACCTTACGAGCACGAAGAGAGGGGACATACGACAAACCTCTAGGCCTCTCATCAAACCCTACGAGCAGGAGCCAACATGAGGCGAGGTCACCGGGGCACTAATTGGAAAGAAACCATGTGGAAGCCAGGCAGCTTAAAGTGTGCCAAACACAACCAACAAGACGGCCCAAAATAGGCAGGGTCACCGGGGAAAACGAACACGAGCAAAATGAATATGAGCAGAAAGAGAACGAATACGAGCAGATTGACATCGAGCAGAGAGAGAACGAATACGAGCAGAATGAATACGAGCAGAAGAGAACGAGTACGAGCAGACTCAGTACGAGCAGAAAGACAGCGAAAACTAGCGGACTGAAATCGAGCAGAGAGAGAACGAATACGTGCAGAAAAAGCACAAATACGAGCAGAAAGAGAACGAACACGAGCAAAATGAATATGAGCAGAAAGAGAACGAATACGAGCAGAATGATTACGAGCAGAGAGAGAACGAAGACGAGCAGACTGAAATCGAGCAGAGAGAGAGAGAGAGAGAACGAATACGAACAGAATGAATACGAAAAGAAAAACAACGAAAACGAGCGGACTGAAATCGAGCAGAGAGAGAACGAATACGAGCAGAATGAATACGAGCAGAACGAGAACGAACACGAGACGAGCAGATCAGAAAAAGAACGAATACGAGCAGAAAGAAACGCACACGAGTAGAATGGAAACCAAGCAGAATGACAAAGAACACGAGCAGAAAGAACAAATGAGATTGGAGGACAGCGCTTGCTGATGAAAAATGTAAACTTTTTATTTCTTAATGTTTTGGGATTCTCTGGGTGGGTGGGTTTTTTTCTAGAGCCCAAACAGCGGCTCTACTAGAGATTGCTCGACCCGGAGCTGCTGAACCCTAAACCCTAAACCCTAAATTCCCACCCGGCCTGCTTAGGCCGTACCCACCCTTTTCTAGGGTGCCTGGACCCAGAAGATACCCGGACACCTTTACTGGATGGACAATGGGTGGAGCTATTGGAGAATGGTCGAATAGAGAGCCCCCCTTGCCACTAGGCCACCAGAGTGGCGCCCATATTTACACAGGGATCTTGATCAGAAAACACGCCAAAAGCAAGACCAAAGCTCTCAGAAGTCCACCACCCTGGAGCCCCTGGGCCCTCCTCTGGAGGCCCCCTGCTCCCTGACCCGAAAATCCTGAAATCCAGGGTTCGCCATGGCGGGGGTCCCTCTCCCTGACCTTGGCCTTCCCCCCCTGGCCCGCCCTGACCCCTAGCCCCTGACCTCCCTGGCGGCTCATTGACCGCCTGCCCGCTCCTGGCCCTTGTGGGACCACACCTATGTAGGGAAAGCAATGGTGGGAATTGAGGGCGGCAGCCCTAAACCCTAAAAGGCAGTGGTTTGGGTGGTGGCCTGTGAAAGCTCACAGCGGGTCACCAATGAAATTGTTGGATTACATTGACAAGAGACGCCTTCGCGCGACATGCCGCCCCCCCACACCCCCTGCGTGTGTAGAGGCGCCATTTACGCATGGCACTTACTGCCGCTGCGCGGCGAGACGCCCTAAACCCTAAACCCTAAACCCTAAACCCTAAACCACTAAACCCAAAACCCTAAACCCTAACCCCTAACCCCTGACCCCTAACCCTCAACCCAAACCCCAACCAGACCACCCCACAGGGGGGCCATGGGGGGGGGTACCATGGGGTGGGGGGGGGTGCGACGCTGCACCACAAACCCTAAACCCTAAACCCTAAACCCAAAACCCCAAAATCCCAAAACCCCAAACCCCAAACCCTCAACCCAAACCCCAACCACAGCACCCCACAGGGGGGCCCAAACCACAGGGGGACGGGGCGGGGACCCCAAACCCTAAACCTAAACCCGAAATCCTAAACCCTAAACTCTGAGTCCTAAACCCTAAACCCTTTTGCAACTGGTAAACCCTAAACCCTAAACCCAAATCCCAACCACACCAATTCGGGAAAGAATTTGGGGGGGGGTGGGGGGGGGACCAGGGGTGGGGGGGGGTGGGGGGGGGCAGCGACGCTGCCCCACATATATATATATATATGTATATGTATGTGTATATTATAAACGAACCCTAAACTTGCAGCCTTGGAAATTCTGGGGTGTCAACTTTGCGGCCATATGCGGGTAGGTGTGCAAGAGGGTTCTTCCTTTCATGCCAAGGTCATCCCAAGTCTATCCAAGTCTCACATCTGCTTCACTGTAGTATCCACCCCCGTCCAACTGCCACTCACCTTTGCCATTGGCCTCCACATACGGACTCCAGCGGTACGCCAGGTCGAGCCCAGTTCCGCTGTGGCAGCAATCCAAGAAACCTCGAGCAGCTGTAGGACTGTTGCCAAGCAATTTGAGCAGTTGGTCTACGTTGCGGGACACAAGGAGCTAAAGTAAATGCATGTAAAATCACACGCATGTTACAAGCACTGGCCGTTCACATTATCAGTAAAGTATCTTGGCCCGTAAATTATCATGCATGACTGTAAATACAAGAATACATATAATACGTATATGTAGATGTATAAAGGTACAGTTTTTTTCATTCATGTATACACCAAGCCAAGTTACAGGTCAGCCTCACGCCTGCAGGCAGTGGCTGCACCAGCAGCTCGTGAATCCTCAGCAGCACTAGCAACGACAATGCGTTGGTGCCTGATCGTGCTCCTTGATTTCCCCCCCCCCCCCCCCCCCCCCCCCCCCCCCCCCCCCCCCCCCCCCCCCCCCCCCCCCCCCCCCCCCCCCCCCCCGCCCACCCTCCCTGCCATCCCCCCGGGGTGGTGGTTGTGGGGCGGGATTGGCGTTGAAGCCGTGATGAAGCTTAGGCTTAAGGGTCTTGGGGCTGAGGATTCGGGTTTCGGGTTGCAGGACAGGTGGGGGCGGCAGGGTGGATGGCGAACTGCGACATGGGATTGTAAATGGAACGTTGGACTTGCAGTCAGGGCTTGCAAAACAACACACACGAAAAAACTGTTTATGGGATCAGGTCGCTGCAAAAGAAATCCCTGTAGCTGCCCCATTCAAAGGACAATCGAATACTTTCCTTCCTATACAGTCCCCCTAAGCCCTAAACCCTGACCATAAACCTAAACCCTTAACCCTAAACCTTAAACCCTAAACAGCGCCAGCCGAGCATCTCATCATCAAGCAGAATCCCATTTTCATCAACGTCGCATGGGACCAGGGCCTTGCAGGAGGCCCCCAAAATCTTCTGAACCTTATTCTTTATATGATATAAATGCTATTCAGATGTTCAGATTCTTCTTATGAATATTAACTGTGTTAATATGTTTACTATTGGTAGCATTATGACATCCACAACAGCCTCGGAGATGCTGAGCTTTGTTGCGATACTGCCACTTGGATAAGCATGCCAAAGGCCCTTCAGCCCTAGAGCCCAGCAGCGCATGGAACCTTGACAAGGAATAGTTGGGTAGTTTTTTCTGCGCTTCACACCTTTGCTTCTAAGACGACTGCAGGAGGCATCGCACATCATTGTTGATATTGTGAATGTTGCTAATAATATTGATCTATGCTTGTGGGTTTGGCAATTTGGGTGCAGAGGTTTGATTCAACAACTGGACTCGTTTAGATTTCAAGTCGTGTTCCCGAACTCTCAACAAAATCCCTGAACCCAGGGCTGTGTGAAGTTGCTTGTCGATGGCAAGCCTGGTTCATTACCCGCTCCCACTGAAGGCCCTAGAGACTAGGCTGTAAACTACATAAGAACCCTACACGCAAAAAGAACTTCGTGAGACCAACCCCATAGTCCGAAGATCGGACCCACACTCTTCCACGCACCCTGCGCTCGTGAAGATGCCCCATTCGTCTTTCAAACCCCTGTGGTTTTGCGTTTCGGATGGCTGTGTCGAAGCTTTTAGACGCAGGCCTCGTCAAAGCCATCCTTCTCTCGGTCGGTCATATTCGGTGTCTGGGTACCATGGCCGCTGTAAAAAAAGAGGAGGCTGTCCCCTGCAACTGCTTCATGCACAAGCCAACCTCCGCTGCCAAACAAGGACAATTAGGCCACAAGAAAGGCGACTCTTTAGGTTGCCTGGGCCCTGGTTCCCAAGCAAAAACCTGACACCTGCGGTTCAAGAAGCTCAGCTTGTATAGCTTAACACACCCCCACAAACCCGGGGGGAGCATCAACGAAGTGCCAAAATCACGAATGGCAGCTGATGGCAGCGCGGATGTTGGCCTTCGTCGGCCGCTCCTCCGGGTTGTCTTTGCCATCCATCAGGACCTCAAAAAAAGAGCCGAGGCCACAAACCCCAAAAATCTGAAAGCCGAAGTTCCAATACTGAAGCCCACAATCCTACATTAGGTGTCAAGCCCTACACCCTGCATTGTCTTTTCGCCCAAGCCCGAAATCTGAAGCTTTTGAACCACGCGCTCCAAAACATCTAAATGCACCCTCTTTTTCGTCCCAAACCCTGAAAGCACTGGCACTTAGTGCACTTAGCTGCCTTCAGGTTGTCTGGGGAAGCCGAAAAGCCGCCCCACTTCTCACAAAGCAGCCACCTGGGCCAGGTAGGTCCTGCTGGGCTTACTACATGATAGCTTACTCGGATTGCTGAAAGTGTTCTAGGATTGCTAAGAGGGTTCCATCGCGGGAATTCGGCCGCCGGCCTCATCTTCTCGGCATCTTCTTGGCAATATGGCAAGCTCATTGCTGTGTTGAGATAGCTTATCCCAATTAACAGGGCCTTCCGATTGGGTTTGTCTCGCTGAGGGTCTCCCGTGATGCCTTCAGGAATCAATGTGGCCGCGACTCGAATGGCAGCAGTGTCTTTGACGCCATCCACCTCCGCCTTCACGATGTAATCCTCAGGGCGCGGGATGTGCAGTGTTCAAGACAAACCCTGAACATGTGCTGAAGCGGTGCGTGGGACAGGACTCACCATAGGAATTCTGGTATCTTGTTAAGAGCTTTTGGGCGGGTGGGTGCCGGGAACTGCCCCGCCTAGCCGACCCAATCTAATCACCTCTGGACCCCCATCAATCAAACCACTTCGGGCGCATGCCACATGCCCATGCCCCACACCCAGCCATCAGTGACTCACCTCACAGGTGTGCACAACTGCTTTGACATGTTAAAAACAAGGGCTGTGGATCGTGTGAAGTCTTCCATCGTCTCCTATGAACCTATCATGGAGGCCCGGTTGACCCTTCATTCTTGGATCTTCTATGCCCATGGACCTCACGTGCATCCTGAAAGGCTTCATGGACTCCTTCTGAACTCCAGGAGAGTCCGAGAAAACCACCCTCCAAATTCAAGTGCGGTGTGCACGTTATTTTTGCCAGTCGTCAAGCTGACCTGCAGACTTTGGGCTTATTGAGGGTTTTGTGGTTCTGCTTTCAGGTCGACAGGTTTCAGGTTGACCCTGGCCCGCTCCGCTACATGTTCAAATCATGTCGGAAGGGTACTATCTTCGCGAATGCAACAATTTGGCGTGAATTTGGCGTGCAAGAGTCCTCGACTTTGCGCAATCCAGGCAGAAAGCTTGCCCACTGCACCATGACCGAGGCAATTTGCATGCTCTCCCCACGTCCTTTGCGGTTCATGACCAGGAAGTTGATTTCCACGGCCTTGCCCGCATATGGCAGCTGGAACTTTGTCTTCTGCCACTGCGGACTTGTTGCTCCATTGTCTGCATCCGTACTGTACTCCTGGCCACCATAGGTGAACTTCGTAAAACAGCAAGGCTGCTCCACAAAGAAGTGGCGCCCACAGAGAACTTCAACCACGAGAGGCATGGCTGGAGACTGGCTCTACGCGCCTGCGAGAATTGAGAAAAGTTATGGCTCATGAGATATTAGTGAGCACATGTGAGCATCGTAAATCCGAATGTGGGTCTGAACCTATATAAACCAACCCACAGTGGAGGGGGGAGCGAATGAAAGATACGAGCTTGGGAACCTCAGATTGCACAGGGTGGCGTGGTCTAGCACGTTAACAAGTTCAGGGTTCAGGAACCAGGAGGCACCTGCATCTCTCTCATCACGTGAGGATTTTCTGAAAAGGCAACAAAAGGCAACCGCTGCTGTCTTGGACATTGCGTCAGGGCAGTGGTGAAACGACCTACACATGGTGGAGGGCAGCTGTCCACGCTGTTCCATGCTTGTCACAGCAGCAACGACGGAGCCTGACATGTCCAGATCTGCTTTGGCAAGGGGAGCCTAAACCCTTTTGACCCTGAACACCAAAAAACCCTCCTAAACCCTAAACCCGAAATATCCCGAAATCCTAAACCCTAAAAGGGAAGCTGGGCTTCAGCCTCATGCCCTGGAACGACTTGTAAGCAGGTGAATCTGGAGACTGAGGCTCATGCGGACAAGGTCCTCGGTGGACAGCATCAGGAATGAACATAAGGTCAGGAAGCGAGAGGGAACAACTTACATGTTGACGTTATCTGCGAAAACTCCAAACGGCATGAAACTGTACGAGCAGAAACACTTGGTTTGAAGTCCAGTACCGTCGTAGTGTTCGACGTGCTGCAATGCATAGCATGGCGTAGAGGTCAGGCTACAGGTTTGCGATGTGCTTTCGAGACTACTGTGGGCGCTCGCGACTGTTTAAATTTCCCGCAGCATCGCTGCAGGCGTGGCTGGATCAATTGTCATGGAAGTGTGTTGCCGAAAACCAGACTGCTTACTCGAACTTTGTAAAATTCAAAGCGCATGTGATCCCAGGCTCCAGGACCTTGTTCTCATGAATGGCCCAATTAGACACCAGGCCCGATGCATGAACTTCAGTGCTCACCTTTACTCACTCAACGCTGACAACAAACCAAGATTGCGAACCCAAGCCGACATTGAGTCGTCAAATCAATAAGGTCACTGACTGCCCTTGCCTTGCTGTACTCCCAGCCAAGCGCACTGTGGCATGCAGGTCTGCGCAGCAGAATCCTAGGGCCACAACCTCGCGTACGCTTGCCTGGCAATGCGCAGGCTTGCTTTGAATCGCGAGGCCAACAGCTTGAAGAGATGCTATGCAACAGTCTCTGACTGGGACTTAAGACTTGCTGATGCAATGTTCCAGGCCATCCTGGCTAGCCCGTGTCAAGATGTGCCGGCCAGACAGGCGCGGCGCAGTCTCGGGCAAGCTATAGAAAGCCTCCGTATCCTAGCGAGGATGCAAAGCACAGGCGAGGTTCTATGGTTGCCAGACAACAACAGCTCACATCAAGACCAGGGGTGGAGTTTGCCTTCCGTCTTGCTTATCCCATCTGATTTTGGGAGTTTTAAAGAACAAGATTCTTCCATTTGATAACATTTCTGCAAAGACAACGCAGGGCTACGTCTGCCAGGGCCCATTTTTGTTGATCCCACTGTCCACCCCAAGGCCTTCAGCAGAGCAACTTGTGATGGAACACCGCCTCGAGCCAGGTTCAGCCTCAGAGGACTCACGCAAGCTGAAGCAGCACCGGATGTGGTGCACTGTTGCTGCGCCAAGAACGAGCAATTACACGTGGAAGGGACCACAAGGCACCGGAGCTTCTGCCAAGTTCCGTGCACCAACGGCCCCATTGGCGCCCCGATGGACTCACGGTATGTGCTCCTGCCCCGAAGCTTGTGCAGCCCCGCCGATCGCAAGATGAGTCAAGCCATCATCGGTGGCACAATCACCAAATAGCATCTCAAACACAAACCATTTAGATAGAAACTCTCCACTACAGTCTGACAGTGCTATTTGAATGCTTCCGGCCGCTTCCTCAGGCCACCAGACCTAGGCGGCAGGCGAAGTGGGATCGGCAAGGCCAAGGTTCAGCGTGGCTCTGAGTGTGGCTCTGTTCAACCAGAGTTCCTCTTTACTCGAACCATACTGAAGACCATGCATGCGCTCCTCAATTAGACTCCACATGCCTCAACCCACCATGCTCTCAAGCCCCTGTGAATGATTCACAGTGAATCCTCCGGGGAGGCTGGGTCAGCAACCCAGCCCAGGAGCCTGTCCCCATGGTGACCATTGCCTTGGACAGGTGCGGACCAACATCGTGCAGAATGCCGCGTAAGGGTATCGCTGTCCATGCGACTCACTTGGGGGCTGGCGACACAACGACATTTCAGCCGAGGGACTGATCTGGAGTTGTTGTTGACGGGATTTCGCCCTGCCGCTGACATGGTGTAACAAAACACTGCATCGAGTGTTTTACTGTAACCGTGCGTGCAAGCTCCTGGGTGTGTGAGAAACATCACGGATTCTATGGAATTACCGAGTGGGGGGGGGGGGGAAACACGAGACGTATATGACACCCACACACACACACACACACACTTACACACTTGTTGAAACAACTCCTCTTTTATGTTCTTGCACAGCTTGAAAAAGCATGCCCCCCGCCACCCCCCCCACCCCCAATTTGCACACACACACACAATGCTTGTATGATAAGCTGGGAAAGGATTCATATGGCGGACGGCTTTGGGAAGAATTTACATGGGTTTGAAGTCGTTCGCCTCATGGCATGATGTTCTTTAAGGCTTTGGGGGCAGATGATCACTTCAGAGCAAACCCTTTCACTTGTCTCTGCCGGGTGCACGCATGGTTAGCTTCTTGCTACGCCAAACTGTGCGGGTGTGCATGTGTTTGCACAAAGCCCGGTTGGACCAAGGGTCGGCGCAAACCGCATTAAGTGCTTTTGAATGCGGTAAGCTATCTGCATAGGAACTGGCAGTAAGGGAGGAAGTGAGTGTGTTGTGTGAGTGCGTGCGCGTGCAAGCAGGCACGTGTTTGCAAAAAGTGTGCCTGCCTCCAATGGGAAAGTACCTGCAGCAAGTGATGCGTTCGGCATCGAAATGGTCTCTGCTGCTTTTGCTGAGGGCTCCGACACTCTCTTCACCTGTGCTAACCTCACCTGACTCAGGAACAGGCCGACCACAACTTGCGATTGTTTCAGCAAACGTTCGGTAGCCCATTCATACCCGGGATGCCATACAGTAGGTAGAGACTGCGAGCCATCTATGTCGCTATGGCTCACGATGCATCCAATACAGTACACATTTCAATCTCATCGGCTATAGCCAACTCCTAGCCAAGCGGTCTTACTGCCAAAAAACCACAGCAGGCACTCAGCAAGCCATAGGCATCCGGCTCTGCCCTGGCCAACTTCGCCATGTCCATCTTCGGCGCATCTCTCGTGATGGGCCTGAGTGCCGAATTTGAACAATAGGTTACAGCGTCACCATCTCCTGTACCAGACGCAGGAGATGGAAGCATGATGCTATATGACTTCATGATACTTCATGGAACCCAAAGACTGACGAACGGTTTCCAACTCCCCTCTCCAGTGAGAGCGTGCAGCCGACGAGAGGTTGTGGGCCAGAGACTGTACAACCACAAGGCCACAAGGCCATATGCACTTGGGCTTACATGCAGTGACAGGTACACAGGTTGGAAACGAGGGTGAAGGCTGCTCCTTCCCACCAGCTGTAGGTGAGGGACTTGCCACAGCTGATTCCGGAACTGAACGCGAAATTCCACAAACAATTTTCAGCTGCGACCCCTCATAGGTGGTCTACTGCCTTTGCTGCGGGCAGCCCGCGCAAACTTCGGATCGCACAAGCATGCCAGGCGATGTTGACGTCCATGTCGGACGGCACTACCAAGCGCTGCCTTCTCAGCCTCTCTCACAGGCACCTTACATGAAATCATCCTCAAGCTGCCGGCACTCCTCAATAGAGCCAGTCTTGCTAACGCCTGAGACAGGCAAGAATCAGACTCCACATGTCCGACACATGCCTGCCCGGCCTATATTGGATGTCTTCTCCAGGTTTTGGAGAGCGGCATAGCTTTTGAGCTCCTAGGTAACGAATACTTGGCCCGGGTTGAAAAGCCCACAGCTTATGCCAATGCAAAGCAGCGTAATGAACGAGACGATTTGTTGAACTTGCCTTCTCTTCGAGATGACGCTTGGTTTCCTCCTTGTCAGCCTTCTTCCGCTCCTGCATCGTCCCAATAAGGGATGTTCTGACTCTCCAAGGAGATGATCGGGGACGGTCTTTGAGCAGGTCTAGGAAGACTCGTGCGGAGCATTGCGGAACGGACTGCGGAATGTGAGGGCCCGCCGCTGCAGTCGGGAATCCTCGATGATCTTTCTTCTTCTTGCTCGCTCTTCGTTGTCTCGCTCCTCTTTCTCCTCCCAAACATTGAGATGTTCACGGCGTGTTAAGGTAGGGGCTGGACATGGAGCACAGCATGCCGTGTCAGATCTTGCATGTCCGCTGAAAAAGAAGGCTGATTGCCGTCATGACATCGGCTTTTCGGCCTTTGCGAGGTCAACAGGCTTCTCGACGCGCGTCTTCTCAAGCCTTTTGACTGTGTCCTTGTCCTTGTCGGGAATCGGCAATGCTTTGGAGACTCGGGACTGCAGGTATATGCATGTATGTGTGTAGGTACGTGCGTACATGCTCGCCATGAGGTGCTCACTGTGCGGGCGCCTCGACTTCTTCCTTATTCCCAACATTGGAACCCCATAGTGCTGCCGCACTGTTAGGGAAAACAAGTAAGTGCAAAAACGATATGAAGACAATGTTGACAATGTACCTAGCTGTGGTCGACAGTTGTTCTGATGGTCTGTACGCCCTGTCCTTGGACACGTGCTTGATCAACGTTCGGAAGGACTCCTCCTTAAAGCCGACCTCTTGGAGTCACGCATGTATCAAGTCAAGTGATTCAGCGGCATTGAACACATGTAACCCAACCTGGCCGACTTCCATGTGGTCCTCCTTTTTCAAGTTAAGGAACGGGGTGTAGACGATGTCGCACTGGGCGGCCTACAAGCAGGGTGGCCTTTGGAAACCGCCTTCTGGAATCTGAAAGTCCCCGAATCAAGACTGAATTCGTTTGGCATGTGCGCACGCTGATTTTTTGACATGGAAACCAGGAGCAAGATGTCCCCTCAGCTCATACCCAACCTTGCAGCCTTCGATGGAATTCTCTTTTGTAAGCTGGGCCATCTCCATCAGGATTTCTTCCGGCACAGAAGCGATCGCATCCAGCAGCCTGTCGCTACATGCTTGCTAGAGTCTGCAAGAAGTGACCGGCACATTCGAAGCATCTCCACCAGGTCCGTTTACTTTGCTCACGGAACTGCTCTAGCCGAACAGCCGAACCGGTTTGCTGTGGCCTCTGCTTGGCCTCGGCCTGTCTTGCAGGAGATTGCGTTCATTGCTTGCGCATTCGAAGCGACTTTTGGCTTACATCCACAATAGGCAAAGAAATGATGACCAGGGCCTTGTTGGCGCCAGCAAGGTCAATACTGCCTGATGGAAGTCGAAGATACCTAGAGCGGCCAAAGACTTTCCCTTCATAGGAAGCTGAGTGGCACATGCAACTCCATTCAGCCGGCATGATGAGGTCGGCACACATGCGCTGAAGACAGCTTGTCAACATGAAACCAAATGTCCTTGCGAGCCGAAGATTCGGAACACCAGCGCCGGAAAACCATGGATGACTGGCATGTCACGCAAACCCTTGAAATGCTATCGCCTGCCTCCGGGAAGCCATATTTCAACAGCTCCTCGTTTTCGTACTTGTCCTTTCCCATGTATACCACCTGCATTCTGGTCAGTGTATTGCACAAACTCGTTCTTTCCACTTTTACGCGAGTAGCTGTACATAGTAGAGTGACTGGTTCCCCTTTTTCCATGGTCGAAATGCACGAAACATGAATAAAAATGAAATTATTGAGCAGGAACCCACAAGGCAGTTTGCCGTTTTGACCCTTGCAACATGGCCAAGTTCTAGCTGCAGCTTTGGGCTCATGGGCGCTGCTGCGACCCAAGCAAATGGAAAGGCTGGATGTTCTGAATGACTAATGCCGCCACCTGGCAGGAAATGCTCCTGAAGACGTGCTGAGTCCGGCACATATCGAGGGTCGGAACAGGTGAAGAAAAACACCTGAACAATCGCACTTTTTGCTCTGCGTTTGCTTCTAAAACTGTACGTCGCGAGTTGTCTTTTCTACAGCATTGTGGGGTTTCCTTGGTTTGGGTTTTGTGGGTTTTGGTGCAACAGGCAGCCGAGCCCATCTTGACAAGTCAGCACTGCTCCACTGCGGCTAAGATACCATGTGAGTCCAAAATCGGGAGCCCCGGTGGTTGCCGGAGCTTTGTCCGCTGCTTATAGCTCTGAGCCATACGGCGGAGCTAGGCATCTCGCATGGTTTGACCGCACCCACACCGCGATGATCCAATACCCCCGTCTCATGTGACATGAACTGAGCGTGGCCATGATCTTTGGGTCGAGCGGTAGTTCGCCGAGCTGAACAGCGCGCTCCTCGCTGAAACTGGAACTTGACAAACAATGGTTGAGCATTGCCATGGCGCAGTGAAGGGGCACGCACTAAAACGTTATTTGTTTCCCGACGGAGTTTGTCGTGCTCAGCGATTGCGCAAAGGCAGTTTAAATTTCAGCATATAAAAACTGCAAAGCTCTGCAGGCAAATAAATCTGCCTGTGGCATCTTACCCCACAAACTCCCATAGAAGGAATCCCAAAGCGATTTTCGAAGAACTGCAACGCAACATCAAGAAAGAACTTCCGAACTTCAGGGAAACGAAAAGTTGGAAGCCAATCTCTTTAGACGCGGCCCTTCGAAGCTCAAGTAAGCTTGTCAATGCCATTCCACGCAATGATGCCCCGAGTTTGTTAAGGATTCTCTGACGCTGTGCGTGTCGTCGTGCGCTGGTACAGTGTCTTTTGCCCACCGTCGTGCGCCGGTATCTTTGAACCCGCATGTCCTCGAAGGATCGTCGTCTTGGTGGCGTTTCACTTTGACTCGAACGGGCGAATGCGAATTCCCCGAGCTGGAACGATTGGCACTACATGCATGAATTCTTCCAGAAGGCCTGTATGCAATCCAGAAAAACATTCGTTTGCCCGGCCAAAAAGAATCGCCGGCAAGGCCTTATCGGAGGAGATGTTTCCATGCGCGAGGTTGGGCATTGCACGAAAAAATTGCAGTCAATGCGCACTCCCTGCATTCACGAATTTTCACCACCGTGTGTAAAATCACCTCTTGTATTTGTGGTCTAACACGAAATTTCAAAAACGCAATGTTTCCGTTGATGTGATGTTTTCCGAATCCCCTGAGTTTGTGATGGGGCGGGCTTCGGGACGCCCAATTTAGACCCTAAACAGGCCGGATCTGGAATGGGGTCTGCCCCAGGAGCCCTGGGGGCGCTCCAAAGCCCTACTGGTAACATCCGTATAAACCCCTCGAAATTTGAAACCTTAACTATCCTGCTGAGAGAAAACATCCGAACGAATCCGAAATACGGGGTATGTGCTTCGGGCTTAGAGATGTATATACATTAACATTGACATTTACATTCACATGTACATTTATATTTACATTTATATTTGTATAGGACATACATACTGCAACACCCAAACCGAACGACAAGCAAACACTCGTCGTCAGGGTCCTTGTTGCACGCAATGGCCTAAGCGATCTCATGAGCTCACATGCTGCCACTTCTTGAATGCCATGAACTGCACCATGGCAGCGGCGACTTGTTTGTGCAGGTTTCCCGGCCCAGTTCGAATGCCGTTGTTTCATCTGCGCGCGGTTAGTTGGCGCCATGTCTGAGCAGCGGCAGCGCGCGCCTGTTCCACACAAAATGAAATCTCAACAACCTCGACAGGACTGCAGAAGCCTCTTGGAAACTGACGCCCGAGGCAAATCAGGCAAGTAACGATGCGCTGTAACTTTGGGTGTTTCTGATGAAATTGGCGGCAGTACCATGCAGTGCGTGATCTCTTTTTTACCCAACCAAGGTCAACAAACTCACTTCATGTTGCTTACTTGAACCGCGACACCACAGGATCAACATGTCACGGCTGACAATGCGTTTTTGTCCGTTTCCACGGTGGAAGCCGACATCCCAATTGCCATTCACAGTACTTAAACACAGCAAAACGTGTGGCCGGCTCGTGGGCCAAGCCTGCCAAGCATCTCGGCGTTTCGAGCTGATGGTCGCGGCATCTACCGCGCGTTGTTGCTCACTGGGCCTATACTCTGCCTTGCTGTGGCAGCACCGCCAGGATCTCTCTCAACACCGGCTCAATGCCGGAAAGCGGCCGCCAAATATTGAAATAGTATTGAAATGCAAACACATGCAAAGGGTTTCGAACCCTGCTTCTGAGCGCAGCGCAAAACCAAAGGCCGACCAAAGATGCTGTGACAATTTGGCAGCGGCTTGACAATGGACAAAGCCAGGGAAGCACCGCGCTGCCAAGAAGTCTGCAAGCTGGTCGTCGGATGTCGTCGGGTTGGCCTGCGTTGGATTCGGAAGCCGTGAAGGCGGAGGGACTTTGTTGCACGCTCGGCCTTTCGCACGCTGCATGACGATGCCCCTTTTGGATGATAGGCCCAGCCCCTAGCTGTGCCCGACATTCGGGGACGTCACACAGCTCATCGCGCCGCAGTAGCAAAAAACGAGGCAGGCCAGGCAGGCGGCGTACTTGTCCGTGAGGGCAGGGCGACACTATGCGCAACTGGTAGTTGCAGCGCGGCGCCGCACACAGCATCAAGAGCAACCGCGGAGAGCGGGCAGCTAACGGGTCGTGTTGTGCCAGTACGGCGGCAACGACTCCATGGACCGAAGCTGGCATGGAAAAAAGAATGAACGTGCTGTCCGAGTGATTCCGAGCGCCGCCCTCCCCTTGCAGCAGTTCGTGGCCCCATCCTCCTAGTTGTACTAGATGTAGCGGCTTGCTTGGAAGGGAACGGCAGCAAACCGATAAAGGGGGCATGCTAAGTCCTGGCATGTCCTGGCGGACGTGTGGGGCAGCCTCCCACTGACATGCAGCCGCTTGCCAGCACCAACTTCACGCTCTGCCTGTAGGCGGCGGTGGGCAGGGGGGGGGGGCAGGAGAAAAAAAAACAAACCTTTGTCCGCCTTCTTGCGCGCCTTCGCGCTCAGGCCCTCCCTGCCTCCTCCTTCCGCGGGGCTGGCATTTCCGCCTATGCCTCGCGCTGTCGGCCTTGCTGTCATTCGCGGCCGCGCGCGCCTTTGCAGCTAGCCTCCTCGCCTTGCCTCTCTCCGGCACGGCCAATGTTGATGGCGAGGCCCCGTTGCTCAGCGACATCCTCGCTGACTCCTCCCAATCCCCGCCCCTCGCAAGTATGCCCTAGGCCACTGGGTGTGCACTGGGACCGCTTCGCCTGGGACGTTGGAAAAAGGCGCGGAAAAACAAATACCCCACCGCCTACGTGCAACCGAGCGAAACCGACCACTGGCGCAGACGGTGGAAACGCATGCCTTGGTGGTGGCGTGCACTGGGACCGTGCGTGGAGCGTGGAAGAATTCGCTTCGAAACAACAAAATATAGAGCACGCGTGATGATTATCGTTCGGTTCGCGACATCAACTTTGATGTGCTCGCCCAAACCCAAACTCATGCACGCAAGTTCGGAAAACGTCTTCCGCGCAAGCAGCGACCGAAGGCGACGCTCGCACAACAGTACTCTTCGCAGAGGTTTTCGATATATCCCGTGCGGAAACCGCGTATGCACGCACCATCACGCATCGCAGCCGCTCGCGACGCCGGCCGCGCAGCTCAGGAAAGAGGCTGCTTCGGTGTAGAGTTCTTTGACTTTGACGAGCCGCGCACATCTGACGCTGTTTGCGTCGGGTTGTCCTGCATGGCGGCTGCACGGACGTGTCCGCGCCAGGTCGTGCGGAGCCGGATCGGGTGACTGTGCTGACGCTCACGGCATTCGATCGTGAGCTGGGTGCCGCATGGGCAAGCCATGGACGACCACCTCAATCCCTGACAGGCACATCGATGTTCATGTCAGCAATTCGAATGTTTTAGGTCACGCGAGGAACTGCATGCTCTAGCGGAGTAGCGCGCGGTGGCTGGCTGGATGGCAGGGTTGGCAGCAAAACGCGGTCGCGAAAGTAGATCCTGGTTTTTTTTTTTTTTTGAACGCACCTTTTTCCCAAGTCCATAGCGGTCGAACTCAGCCTACTACGGGTGGCACAGGGCGCAGTGAGCACACCAGGTAGCGGTGGGCAGGGAGCTAGGTGCTGCGGGCGGCGGCCCTGTCACGGCATGCGGCTGGCAAGGGGAGGAGGGGCCGAGCAGTCTGCCAAGACATCGCTGAGGAGTGGGATGTCTCCATCGACATTGCAGTGTTCGCAAGAGGGAGTGCGAGGAGGCTGGCACAAAAGGCGCGCGTGGCTGCAAACGAGATGAGGGCAGACCACCGGAGCGCGTATGCGGAGGTGGCTGCGCTCCCGGCGGTTGCAGGCGCGGCCCGCGCCCTGCAGCGGGCGAGCTGGCGGACGAACCCCGCAGCCTCAGCACTCCAGCGGCCTCCGACCTCGAGAGCGAGCACGGTCAGGCGGGAGCGGGCCGATCGGCAGAGCTCCGGGTACGTCCGCTCCTTGGCCTGGCGAGCCAAGCGCAACGCGGCGCCAGTGGTGCAGCCGCGCGCGCGACGGGGGGCACCGGCAGCCGTCAGTGGAGAGACCAGAGTGGTGTCAACAGCCAGCTGAACACCCCCCCAGAGCGGGAGTCCGTTGGCGATGACCTCA